TATCATTGGTCCGGAATTTAATTACTCAATTTAAAACATTATTTATGACTTTTACCAAATTTTCTAATAATAATAAATACAAAATGTAAAAATATAAGACAAAATTTATCTAAGATTGTACATGTGGTTTAATAACTATGCAATATTTTGTACACACAAGATAGTCATAGAGTATGATGACGAATTATTTCATTTTCATTACATTTGATTTGTTCTAAATTGAATTAACTATTTAAATGATAAATATTGCTTGTGAATTAGTATCAAAGATAAATGCATTTTGATGATCTAAATAATCAAAAATATTTGAATAATCTTGTACGATGAGAAATATATTTTCAATTAAATCTATATAATCGCATAAAATCTTCTCACCTGTCGTCATCGTTGCTCATATTAAAACTATTACGTGTTTCTCTTTTTTTCTTTTGCTTCAAAAAAATTTTCTTTGTAGATTAGAATGATCGACATATACATTATTATCATAGTAAACATTGTCTCAACAAATTTCTATGACAATAGGTAAACAAAAGATAAAAGAAATATCTTCATTTTATTGCAAATCTATAAATATACATCTACATCTATTTAATGCGAAGAAGGATACCTACACCAACCAATCTACTGAAAAAAAAACAATGTAAATCTATAAACATTATTGAACTTAGTCAAGAATTTTTTTTTGTTTCAAATAGTATGAAAATAAAGTTAAAATCCATTGTTTTCATCAGTCTTTCATATTATATACTTTCTAAAAATTTTCTGTACTAATCTGATTTCTTTATGATTTGTCTCATAATCGACATAGTGATTATTCGCCTATTCGAGTAACTTTTTGACGTTTTGGTGAGGCTGCTTCATTCAACACAAACTTATTCATGTTCAGCAATGATTGTCTACTATAAAACAAACATTTCATCAATTTACAATATAACTTTGAAAAAGACGATTTTTATTTTCAATCATTTAAAGGAATAGTCAAATACTACCATCTGCGATTAAATTCAATCGCTATGATTGTTAATTCAAATCGAATCAATTATTTCACATGAAATTCATTTTATATCCTCTTACAACGAATTGCTTGATATTTTGTTTTTCGTCGAAAAGAACAGGATGGTAAATTAATATAAAAAATACTAATTTATTGAGTGTAATAATTTTTTTACTCGTAGTAATGCTTATCCATCTGAATTAATTTTTTTCATTAAAAAGAATATTCTTTAAAAGATAAGTTTTTTTTTGTACTTGTCTAGAAAGACAAAATACAACAAAAATATATGGTTTGCATAGAATCATATGTACTGCTTGCATAAAACTGTTATTATCTACGTCACATCTTGTAAATTGTAGTAGTACTTCTGATAATTGAACTTATATTTCATTCGGTTAGAATACAGCTGCTGTGAAAATACACAACTCCGTTAATGTTGACCTTTATTGATTTTACTCATCTATACAATTATTCATAAGAATATATGTATCCATATGCTATTGCTTTCGATAAATTCGTAAAGCTTGAATTTAATCAATTTCTGTTTAGGAACAGATATAGATAAACTGTATAACACGATGAAATATCATTTGACTGTAACTAAAAGTTCTTTTTAATACGTCAAGCGTCAACGTGCACAAAATAGAATACAGTTGAAAAACAATTTTATGGTCATAATCAAAAAAATAACATTTTCTCTTTTTTTATTGATGACAACTTATTCAGTTTGATACTAATCACCGATATGTAAAGTGTTATATGACATCCGCTCTCTACTTCTTACAATGAGATTTTTTTTACACTACCAGTCTGCTGGTAAAATATATATTCTCTTCAAATATTTATAGAAGTATAATAATTTAGGTCTCACATGAGCATACGATTTTCTACTAGAGATAATGAAAAGAGAACTCGATTAGAGAGAGTCTAAAGTTATGATTAAATTGATATATCTAAAAAACAAGCAAAAAATGATAGTAAGTGTCAGTATTACACTAATGCTAAGCCACCACCTCTAAGCGCGCTTTTCTTTTGTTTCATAAATTTAAATATCGATATCATTTTCAATGTATCTTTTAATTTAAAAATGTTATCAGAGATATAAAATAAAACCAGCATATCTGTTGAGCTTACAACTTATTAATTGATGTTAGTAAGTTATATGAATCAGATTTGGAGTAAACTAATGAGCCATACAATAGAGTACTAAATTAAAAATCTTCCAAACCTTTTGATTCAACAGTCTTGTTGAAAAATCAATCTAGAAATAACAGAGATAAAATTGAATTGTTGAACAAAAGAAAAAAAGAAACATGAACTATAGAAGCTCTTTCATACATTTTCACGAACGTTTGAGCTACAGAATAGAAGAAATCTTTTTCAATTGATCTATTTAATTACGAAGTATAAGGGTAGAACTCAATGCATATGTACGAACATTAGAGATAAGAAATAAACATTTGAGATGCAGAACAAAAAAAATTTTTTTTCAGCCTTTTTATTTAATTACGAATTATAGATACATTTAAAAGTATTTTTATGAATATTTGACACGAGAAATAAACGTTTGAGCTAGAGAACACAAATTTTTTTTTAATCAATCTATTTAATTACGAAGTATAGGTAGAATACAACGCATCTGTACGAACGTTAGAGACGAGAGATATACCTTTGAGCTGAAGAATACAAAAAAATGGATTGTTCTCCATTGTGGTCGTTAGACTTATCTAAGTTAATCATATAACTTATTCTAATAAAAAAAAGAAAAAACTTGTAATAATAATTGCAAGACAAAAGGGAATTGTATTTGTAAACAACTGTTTACAACGTCAATAAAATATACGGCAGGAAATCTTGTAATTCTAATTAAGTAATGGCAACTATCAAAATCAAAAGAATTTCTAGAATAGTATTAATTCATGGAAAAAAAGAGATTTCCTGTTTTTTTTGTATTCTGTAGCTCAAACGTTTTTTTCTCATCTCTAACGTACGTACAGATGCATTGAATTCTACCTATACTTCGTAATTAAATAGATTGATTTAAGAGATTTTTGTGTTCTCTAGCTCAAACGTTTATTTCTCGTGTCAAATATTCGTAATTAAATAAATAGGCATAAAAAAGGTTTTTTTCTGTTCTGTATCTCAAACGTTTATTTCTTATCTCTAATGTTTGTACATATGCATTGAATTCTACCTATACTTCATAATTAAATAGATCAATTGAAAAAGATTTGTTCTACGCTGTATTTTAAAAGTTCATTTCTCATCTTAAATATTCATGAAAATGTATTAAGGAGCTTCTATAGTTCATGTTTCTTTTTTTCTCTTGCTCAATAGTTCAGTTTTCATCTTTATTATTTCTAGATTGATTTCTCAACAAGACTATAAAATCAAAAGGTTTAGGAGACTTTTAATTTAGTATTCTATTTTATGGCTCATTAGTTGACTCTAATTATAATTCATCTAACTGACCAATTTCAATTAATAAATTATTAATTCAACAGATGTGGGGATTTTGTTTTATATCTTTAATAATATTGTTTCATTAAGAGATAAAGAATGGTAAATAATATTATTCCAGGAGGATAGCGCTATGATTTCGAGCCGAAAGTATGATGAATTTTATATCAGATGAAAGTTCGTGAAAAATGGAGTTTAATTATGCTAAATAGTAAGACTTTGAAGGACTTTCGTCCATCAAACTTTAAAAAACAACGGAGTTTTCTTTAAAAATAACGTTAAAAATCATTTTTAATTTTGGGACAATGATATATGGTCTGGGAATTCGTCTGAGCTCAACGTGGCGGAACATATTGAAACAATAATCAAAAATGAAGTTGAAAAAAAAAGTTATCGGAATTTGGAAATAATCGATATCGTGAAGAAACACTCAAAAAGTACATTGCAAACGTTTTGACTGACATGAAAGAAGATATCCAATAGTTTAAAACCCTTTTATGTTCGTATCCATCTCGACTTCGTTCAGTATTGAACGCTAATAGTCGCCATACTGATTATTGATTGTATTCATTAAATAATAAGAAAAAGATTATTTTGCAGCATATTGTTTAGCTCGAAATTTTTTTGATGAACTGATCTTACAATATTTCGTGTCAGTAAAAATTCGAACTTCTAATAAATCAATACACGAAAGCCCTTCGCAGTCTTACTATTTAGCATAATTAAACTCCATTTTTCACGGGCTTTCATTTGATATAAAATTCATCATATTTCTGACTCGAAATTATAGCGTTACCCCTGTTGAATAGTGTTAATTATCACCGTGTATATCATAGAGCAGCCATCTTTGCTTTTCGGTACAAAACAAACATTTCTCTATCCAATGATATGTGTGTACCTAGAGGTAAATAAAATATGAATCAACACCCACGATCCTATCCTTCTAAGTTCTATATCTAGTTTACTTCTAGTGATATGACTACGACAATACAATTATGTTTCTCAAATATCGTTCCAAGACGTATGAAGAAAAAGCTACGCATACGTGTTCTTTATCTCCTGATATTAACTAGTACGATTGTGGTTTTCAGTGGAAATGCTTTAATTCGACCAAGAATAGATAATTCTGTTATTTCGACACAAGTGCAAGCGTCGAACACTACATCCACTAAAACTGATTATCGCCTATTTTCTGGAAAAAAAATTAGATTATTTAATCATGAATATAATGACAATCGAAAAAACAAAACATGGCAACAAGAAATTCAACAATTCCTCACTCGAACATCTCCACAATTCAGGAACAAATCAATCTGTGGAACACATAATTGGGCTGTTGTTGTCAACTTTTCAAATAGTGTTCTTGACACAGCGAAACGACTTTCCAAATGGTGTGTCGTTATTGTCGTTAAAGATCGACCGAATAATGTCAAACTTACTGAAAATATATTCTTTCTGAATGTCACAATTCAGAATGAACTCGCAAAAATATCTCCATTTTACAAAGCTTCTCTTCTCTATGCCAAGCAACATCATATCGTACAGAAGAATCTAGGCTATCTTTGGGCAATTCTTCATGGAGCAACAATGATATGGGATTTTGATAATGATAACGAACTGATTGTTAATGAAAGTACATTTTCTACTTCGCTAAATGAAACAATAGAAGCGTTAACTGTACCAAATCATAACAGTACATTGTTTAATCCATACTCATTTTTTGTATCAAACACAAAGAAGCTTTGGCCACGAGGATATCCATCTCAATCAATCAATGTAAGTTATTTAGATTCATTTTTGTTTTTCTTCAAATCATAGTTGCTCTCATCTTCATCTAAGACCTTAACAGTGTACTTTTGTTTTTACTCATTCTCGATAAGATAATAAATTTGTTTGTGTTGCAGGATTCATCGAATCAAATCATTTCGACACAAACACTACGTGGTCTTTGGCCAACAAAAAACATTGGAATTATTCACTCTCTTACAGAATGTCAAGTTGATGTAGATTCAGTCTACAAATCGGTTGTACCTGGATTTCCGTTACGTTTTCAAAAGATCTCAAATGATCGTAACAAAGATGTGAAACTAATCGCTCCTCGTCGTACATTTTCTCCATATAGTAAAAAATCAACTCTTCATCTTCGATCCAGTTTGTGGACTCTATTATTACCAGTTACTGTTTCTCAACAAATATCTGATATTTGGCGCAGTTATGTTATGCAGGTAAGACAAAGTATTATTAATTCAATCTGTTTTGTTGAAATTCATTCTGTATCGTTGATAGAGATTAATGTGGGATGTGGGTCTTCAAACAGCGTTTGCTGGCTCTTATAGTATTAAGAAACATGTTGATCATAACGAACACGAGTTGGAGAAAGAATTTTATTGGAAAATCGATAACCTCATTGAATATTTGACTCAATGGTCAAGTACTGAGACGAGTTTTACAAGGCGTGTCAAACAATTATTTATTAGTCTTTATCAACATGGTTATATAGAATTGATTGATGTCCATCTTATTCAACTTTGGCTTGAAGAATTACATTTGATCGGATATACTTTTCCTGAAATTCCTTTAAAATATACTTTGGTTGTTCGTACATTTGCTGGCCATCTATACAGGATGAATAAGTGGTGAGTTAATTTTTATCAATAATTTCAGTACAATATACGTACACTATTAGTGAGAGATTACTTTAAGATCCATTTAATCGATGTTTCAGCCTTAGAAATTAAGGGGGAAATTGGCTAAATATCTCTTATTGAATAGGTACATTCCAACAGTGAACATGTTTGCGGATAGAAATACGATTGATGTCTTATTTGTTCTTGATGATGAATCACGAGAAGATCACATATTGGGAGATTGTTTAAAAGAGCATAACTATTCTGTCAAATACGAAGCTTCACCAGCATTTACTAAAACAAAAGGTAATATTAAAGGTTACGATCGACAACAATGGTCAACATTTTATATGGATTATTTATCGAATAGTGATTATATTGGCGTGATCGATGCTGATGGAATGCTTTATTCATTTATGCATCCATTCTATAGTATTTTTGCATCGAACGATGACAAACGTATCATGTTAAAGCCAATGGCTGGAGATCATTATCACGAAGATAAGGTAATATTCAAATTGATAACAAATCATTTAAAAAGCACATAAGATAAGAAAAATGATCATAAATAAAGAGATGATTATACGAAATAAATATATGCTTGTAGATACATCTGTTAAACTTATTTTTCTTGACTACAAAGAGACTTTTGTATAAATAGATATCCTATCAGTTAGAGAGACTAGAGTTTTTTTTTGTTTTTGGTAAAATGCTTTTTTATTTATTCAAAGTTGGCTTTAAAATTTGACAACACTCTGGATTTTATGTGGACTAATCGTATGCCAATGTGGTATCGATGGGAAACATATCAGAATCTTCGTAATTACATATCATTAGCATGGAATGGATCCAGTTTCGATGACGCTTTTATAGAATTTTCCAAAAATCAACGATATAGTCAATTTACCATCCTATCAACATATGCATCATTATTTGAATCGAACTATTATCGTATTATTATGAACAATGATACACGAGGTGCAGTCAGTGTTGGAAGTAATCGTGGTCGAGAGACAGATATTCGTGTTGGATGTTGTCGTTCATTTCATATTGGTTGTAATGATACATCATTACCAGAACTAAACAAAGATCATTTATTAAGATATGATAATACAGAATTTGTAGCTGTTGATGCAACGGAAAAAAATGATGCTTACTATGCATATGTGCATGAATATTTGAAACAAATGCCTTCATATATGGTGTCGAATATGAAAAAAAGTTGTGAATTATTTTTGAACAATAAATCAATTCCTATATGTGTTTAATTAGCATTTTGTTATTGATTGTGTCCATGAAAATAAATCATTGTTAAAATATGAACTTGAACAAAAATTCATAAATGTTTTGACCTCTTTTCTTTTTTTGTCTTCTTTCTACTTTTTAGATAACTAATGTGTGCATGCTTATCTTCATTACTTCGGAATTTAGCAATTATAAAATCTGGCAAAAATTCAATCATTCAGTTGATCGTAATTTTAATGTCTGTATTATATCTTGTAACAGTATTATATGTTAATAAATTTTTATTGAAAAATATCTCCGATAATATGATATTGAATAAAAATACTTCTTTAATATTACAAAATCAAATTTGTAAAAATACGAGCAAGAAATGGATTGTACTTACAACGATATTTTATCCAACAAAAGCTGTCGAACTTTTCTTAACACTTGACGACTGGATGTTGGTTGTTATTGCCGATAGAAAAACTCCGATTGATTGGCTTTCTCGTATCCGACCTAGTTTACGTCAAAAACTTATTTATCTTAGTTTATCAGATCAAAAATTATTAAATTATGGGATTGTTCGATTTCTTCCTGAAGGTTCTTATGCTCGAAAAAATATTGGATATCTTGTAGCTATTCAATGTGGAGCTAAACTTATTTTTGAATCAGATGATGATAACTTTATCGAAGATAAGTTCATTAAACATTTACCAAAAATTAGTTCTCCTAACATTATACCAAATATTGCCTTTCATGGACAACGTTCTTCTTTCATAAATATATATGGATCGTTTCAGGGTTGCCAACTGTACCCCATTTTGGGGTACAGTGCCCCATTTCACCGTTTTGTACCTCACAGAATTGTGTACCTCATGAGGTACATATTTTGTACCCCATTCGAGCTTTTAAGTCTTTAGTACAATTTATAAATCTTCTAATAAAAATAAGCTATGTTCTCCACTAGATTTTTGTCTGTCTTACAAAGATATCTATAATAAAGTGTATTGGTGGAGAACTGGTCAATATATGTTAACACCCATATTATTCAATGTCCAACTTCATCTTGGATTGTTCAATTTTATCTACTATTTTTACTACGAACAATGAAATACATTTTATTGAGTTTTCTCCTTCTGTCATTTCTCATAGTTTCAGTATTTTTTCGTATGGTATTTAATATAGATATGCTGCCTTCAAAATGAATCTAGATATAGATTTCTTTTCAATTGATTTGATGGTAATATTCATATGGAATTGGAAGAAACTTATGAAATAGAAACTTCTGAAGATTCAGAAGCAACAACTAGTGACGAAATTTCTTGTTTTCGAGACCAACCAACTATCAATATCAAAGAAAAAAATGTCTTTTTATCATCAAAGTCAAAAGGACGTTGCATCTTCGATAAACAATGATAAAACAATCGTAAATATGCATCATTTCTCAGAAAATGTCGCACTGATAAATATTCTGTTCATTGTTCTTGATAGAAAGTGAACAATAAAGCTAATCCAGTTATAAACATAGTGAGATATTACGTCATTTTTTATAAAAGAAGTTTTACTTCATCGTTTTCTCACTTAAGTCGAACATTTCAGTAGAAAAATGATGTACCCCAGAGTTATTCCTCTTTCTGAAAAGGAACGTACCCCAAATGTACCCCATTTTGACTCTCATAAACCCCATTTGAAAAATAAGAGTTGGCAACCCTGGATCGTTTGGTCATCCAAACATGTGGCCAAGAGGTTTTCCACTTGAACAATTAAAAAATGTGAGTGAAGATGGATGGAGTTCATTACAACGAAATGATGAACATATTCATGCATATATTCAACAATTTCTAGCTGATCTCCATCCTGATGTTGATGCTATTTATCGTTTAACAAATTCATTCAATCTTGGTCATATTAAGTTCAATCGTGAACAAACACCGATCGCCTTAGAGCCATTTACTTTTTCTCCATATAATACACAAAATACAATCACTTATTATGAAGCATTCTGGGGTTTATTTCTTCCTGTAACAACATCATTTCGTGTTTGTGATATTTGGCGTGGATTTTGGGTTCAACGACTTCTGTGGGATATTGGTGGAAGACTTGTTTTTGCAGGACCAACTGTTAAACAGAAAAGAAATGTTCATAGTTTATTTAATGATATGAAAGAAGAACAACAGATGTATTATGAAAGTGCAGCATTTGTTCGATTCCTTTCTTCATGGAAATCATCGTCAACATCTCTTTTCGAAAATATTCGTTCTCTTGCAAATAATATTGTAAAACAAGGATTTTGGAAATCAGCAGAAGAAAAGTATTTAGATATTTGGCTTAACGATCTACTTAATCTTGGTTATGAACCTCCACCATTAATAAATTTAATAAACAAAGAGAAAAAGAAGAGTAAACGACAACGTGCTGCAGTTTGTGTTACAGGAAGATTAGCTTGTGTCAATGAATCTTATTTTTTATTTGAAAAACAATTGCGAAAAAGACTCCAAGGTCCAATTGATATATTTTATTATTTATCGTCATCAATCCCAGTTACACCTTGCCAATGTTTTAATATAACATTTATCAATAATGCAGCAGTATACATACTATATGCCAAACAAAGCTTATATTATCAACAATGGAAAAAATCATGTTTTATCAATTCCTCTCTATCACACAATCAGAAAGAAGAGAAATTTGAAAATATGTGGTCACAAGCAAAATGTTATGATCTAGTTAGTTCATATCAGAAACAGAATAATGTTAAATATAAACTAATGGTTCATGTACAATTTGATTCTACTTTTGTTAAGATGCCAATGTCTTATGAAAGAGATTCACCATTTGATGTTAATACCACAATTATATTTCCAGATAATAACTATACTGATGAAATTAATGAAGAATTTGCTATTGGTCCTATTCATAAAATGTCATATTATATGCGTCGATGGTATGCATTACAAAATTGTTCCCTTCGATCACTAAATTTACACCAGCAACTGAAATCTATGGTTGAATTGAATACATCAATATCATTCGATAATGAAACTATAATTAATATAAATAAATCAGATAGATGTTAATGTAAACATGCAATTCACTTATTCAAACTTAGTTTCTCTTGTATTGTATTTGAACAGTCATAAATCTTGAATAGAATCATAATAAATCAGTGTGATTTGTGTCATCTTAGTTAAGTAAACTAGACTATTTCATACAAGGTTCAATTGAAAATTGATCAACTCATTCCTTGAGATGCAAGAATATCCATTGACAAAATGAAGTGAAAAGACATGTTACTGCAAAGGTATAAGTATTGGTGTGTGTGAATATTAAATTTAACTCACACTCCCACACACATCCTTTGTGAGCAAAACGTACTAAAATATACACATATCAATTTCAAGATAAACTTAAGTTAAATTAAAGAACGTGATTGGTGCATAAAAATTTAAATTGTTTCAAAAAGATGACTTAACTTCTTGTTGAACGGTAATCTCATTTTGCATCTATTTATTAATTTCTTTGTTTCTATTATTTAATGCTTATGCTAATATATAAACATAAATATATATATATGAAAAAGTATGTACTCTGCTGATCAGTTTTAAAAAAAATAGCTATCAATCAAAAGATATGGTAATGATAACGTAATTAAGGGATTTGTATGTCTTTATCAGTCTCTTTTTACATATAAATTATCTGAATTAATCAATAGAGTTTCATTCATCTCAACTCAAAGACTCGGTTTTTATCAGTCCAGTTCACTTTTCCCAATTAACAGTTCACCCTCATTCAGTAGTCTGAGCACATGAGAGGCACATTTGACTTTCCCGCATTGAAATACCTCGAAAAATGGTTTTTTGACCTTGCGGACAGACAATTTATATTTGCAAGACTCTTCTCTACGAGAAAGAGAACAGATTAAATTTCATCTCTAGCATTGCTATAAAGATAATAGATGATATTATAATTTAAGGTTGACAAGTATTTATTTTGATATAAAATCTGTCTGATATAAACTTTATTTTATGTAGATATTTGTTGATAGAAAGAACTAAAACAAGACAAATATCCATCGATTTTATTAATAAAGTAAGAATATAATAATTTTAGTGAGTCTATTTTTTAAATAGTTTATAAGAGCCATTTAACATGAGCCACAATATATTTTCATACAAGACACTCCACTGACACTCATCGATTAATCTTTTGATTCTCGAATTTGTCCTTGTGAAAATCAGAGTTTTTGAAAATAAAATCTTCATATCTAATTGTTCTTTCACAGGAATTGCATTCCCATGTTACAAAAAATCATAAGTGGTTTACCTTTGTACAATACAAACAGATATATTACAATCAAGACTTCTATATCATATATGACCTCAACGATTATGAAAGAAGTAACTAACAGATCTTTGTCGGAACTCTTTGTATAAATTTCTATTTACATATATATTCCATTAGCCGTAACCGTAAATGTAAAGAAAAGTAATTATACTGATGAACAGTAGAATGACACAAACTATAGATGCATTGTGTATAGGCTAGAAAAAACAGAGATATTATTGTATGAAATCATCTAACAAACTAGATTACCAATGGTTTCACTTGATCAGTGCATTTGAATACATGTATCCGTTATCGAAACATCAAAGGATTAACTCTCGGTTATCGTCCTCATTTTATAACTTGAACAGTGTCTTGAGGTCCACGCGGACCCAACTCTTAAAAGTTACAGAGAATGATGATTTTGCTTTACGTAAGGTATCTGTTTATATATTGTAGATTTCCAAATACTCTTCTCTCTACAGACTTATTCATCGCTTGTTATAGAGGCAATATAAGAACGCACGATGCAAAGAAAACAAATTGACTCATACTAGTTTTTATCAAAGCGTAATGAAAATTTAGCAATTTACAAAGAAAATATGAGTTACTATCATGAGAGGTGAACATGCAAGCGAATTAAAACGTATTTAATTTGAAAATAAATCGATACGCAACAGATCGCAGTTATAGAAAAGCGAAAAATCATATCTAAATCATCACTAGTGTCCGGGGGTCCGCGTAGACCCATATCCGCATTTTTCTGTTTTAGATACGGGCATGATTCTTCGTATAAACGAAAATCTGTAAAGTGGGTCCAAGCAGACCTCACAACAGTAGCCGAGGGTTAACGAGACAATTTTTTGATGAATATCTATGCCATCAGTTCACGAGATATTTCTTTTTTTTTTTGGATAAATTATTAATCAGAAAGCACATTTTCTATAATAGTTCCGTCTCATTCCAGATATTGATGATTTGATCATTATATCATATTAGAGTGATGAAATACAGATCTTAATCAATATCCACTTTAGGAAAAAATTCATCTTGTTATACATTACAAGAAAGCGCGATAAATCATACTTCTTTTCAGTGTATTTGACATCCATGTTTTTCTTTTGGTGATCATATTACTTTTTTTCATCTCAAGGAGATTTTATTTCTTTTTAATAGTCTTCACCTTCACATTCATTTTTTGTATCGGATTAATTTTGTTCTGTTCTTTTCTCACCATGTTGTATACGTATGTATATTTGTTCCAGTGTTACTTATTCACTTACTTGACTTAAGACTTTTCTTTTTGTATTATAATAGTTTTTATTAGGGGTGGTGGCTTAGCATTAATATGAAAATAATGCACAAGTTTATTATTGTAAAGGAAACATGTAATATCGATTTATGCATTAAATTAACATTAGTACCACCGATACTACTTTTAATGCCAAAAGTCCAGTATTAATTAACTTTCATTGAGAAATAAATCAATGCATTATTTCCAGTTTTTGATGCTAAGCCACCACCTCTAGTTTGTATTTAATCAGCTTAGTTTCTACGATCTGATTTTGACTGAAAGTAATTGTTATACATTCACTAAAAATGGATGGTATAATATAGTACCTACAGGTTGGTTAAAGATTCAATAGTATTTTTAAAATTTCTACGTATCTTTGCTTTCTATTATATTTTTTACTTTTAAACCTTGACTGATACTTCATATACTTATGCTCTCATCACATTTTTCTCTTTATTCGATAGTATTGTTGAGCATTCTCTTCAATGAATAGTTGACACAATTTTTATCTGTGACATATGAGTGACATATAAATCTAATGAAAATTGCAAAAAGCACGCCATGTATACAAAAGAGTTTTGTATTGTTATGAAGAATAAATTCTCGATGAATAAAAAATATTATTTTATCATTGCAGTACTCTTTAAATATTTTACTCAGAACGTGATTTTTGATAATTTATCCATGCTGCTACGGGAGTTTTAAAGTATATTTTTTTTCTCTTCCTCGGAAATGATCTCTATTACTCAATAAATAGAACTTACAGTATTGTATATTATATTTGTTGAGTAACAAGAATCATGTATGACGAAGAGAAAAAGAGGAATGAGTAACTCTTATTATATCTTGAGGGTGTGGGTGTGGGTATTATCCTTTTCACTCTCGCCCACATCCACCCCCAAGATGATGTTTGTGTTGATAATTAATTGCGTATTATCATCATTATGATTACAACATTCGCATTATTTACTTTTGATGACCGAATTTGCCAACGTTACCAGCTGTCAAGGTCGAAAATTCTAAATTGTATTTTTTAGTTTTAATTTTCATTAAACTTATCGTTTCACTGCATCTCATTCTTTACTTTATTTTGTTACTATCAAGTTATTTACTATTTTAATATTGATTTATGGATCACGTTTCTAGCGATAAAAAACCTAATATAGCGCACACATTTCTGGTAGAGTTGGTAAAATAAGGCACAAAACACAAGTTACCTAGTTATTTATTGTAATGCTCAGTTAAAAATATGATTTTTGTTGCATGTCTCATATATACTCTCTGAGAATATACCCTCACACAAAACTCTTTCCTCTGTTTGATTCTTTTTTATCATATCTTGTATAAAATGTATTGTCGAGTGAAATATAACTTCAGAGTAGCAATGTATGATAGCACAGAAATAAAAATGGTGGACAGATTTGTTTTTGTTCATAGGTGTATCTTATATTTGGATTCATATTTCTATAAAGTATTCGTCAAAAGAATTAGAGATATATGACGCTGGCTTAGCGCTACCTGATTTAGGGTGTGGATGCGGATCTCGATATATTCAATTCTCAGACCCACGCACATACACACCACCCACACCCACACCGTATATTATTTGAATCTATTATTCTTTTTTTGTTCTTAGAATTTTCAATTCAAACAATTATTGTAATTTAATTAGAAAAATCTAATCATCATTGGACTTTAACAATATTCTACGTCTAATGGAAATTCATCTATATAACGTACGTTTTCAACGAAATTATCGTTCTATACGTTTTGTATTGTCGATAGTTATTTTAAGTTTTATATTTTATTGTATTAACTTACTCAAATCGAACGTATTTACTGTTCAAATAGAAAAATTAATCATGTATAAGATAAAAGATTTACCTAATACAGTTAATGTAGTTAATTTACGGGAAGAAATTAATGAAAATTATACATGTATCAAAACAAAACAATTGCTCTCAACTGTCCAAACAACAATTTGCCTGCATGATTCTCGTGATGCTGTTAGTAAAGAGATTTTAGAAAAGAAAATTTGGGAAGAAAAATATGTAATAAAACTATTAGAATTTCTTAAACGATATCCACAAATGGATTTTATTGATGCTGGAGCAAATCTTGGTGCATACACGATGTTTGCAGCATCATTTGGAAGATATGCAATTGCAATCGAATGTTTCAAACCTAATATAAATCGAATTCGTAAAGCTATACAAATTGAAAAACTTGAAAATAATGTTACATTAATTGGCAATGCGATTTTCTCTAAATCAGATCATTTTTTGAAAATAAAATCTGATCCATATAATGTTGGTTCACAAGCAATTATTATTGATAGTACTGTGACTTCTTCACTTATAAATGATACATATGTGGTAAAAACAATGCGATTTGATGATATTCTTCCAGTATTAAAATGGAAAAACATTCGTCATGCAATAATGAAAGTTGATATTCAATGGGCAGAAATATATTTATGTCAAACTGGTGATAAAGTATTTGATTTTGTAAATATACCTGTTATTCTAATGGAATGGGATATTGGTGCTCGTCATGATACTAGAATGCGTTATGTTTTGAAATATTTTCTAGGACGTGGCTATGTTGCAACTGTCGATATGTGTAAGATACTGGACGAAAATGATGCTCTTCGTTCATGGCCACCGGATGTTTTTTGGATGAAAATGAACTTATCGGAAATTTGTTAACCATGAAATTATAGTGTCATTTATGGTTGAACAAAATAATATAAACTATAAATTCGAAATATTTGACTATATCCATTGATTTTTACGGTTGACGACAGAAGTTTAAATGAATTTTCTTTTACGCATTAACAGATAACTATCTGAGGGTGTGGATGTGGGTGTGGGTGAGTGTGAATAATGAAAGAGGACACCCATAACAATCCACACCCATACTGTCACACCCACACCCACACCCACACCCTTTATAATAAAGAATATATGTACGTAAAATTTTTATATTTCAAAAAGATCAATTTAATATTAGTTTATAAAAGTATATACACGTGAAATATCAATCTCTATGAAATACAGATAAAGATTTTCTTTTTCGCTTGAAAATAACGAAAATTTATTTATGAACAGATCTTATCTTTAATTTATATCAAGCATCTTACAAAAAATGATATAATATCATGGATATAAATAAAGTATCCTAAACAGTCTATCGTATTAGTTTTTGTAGAGAGTAGTTGTGGGTGTAGACCGTCTACAATCTCTACATACACACCCTTACCTTGATCTCATCTACGCTCGCATCCACGCACACCTACATCCATTAATCTTCATAACATCAGTTTTAGTAAATTTTTTATTATGACAAATTCTTTTTATATTGTTTACTCTTAGCCGACACTAATAAACATTTTTAAACTTGACAGCACATGTGCAAGTAAACAATCATACCTGTATAGATTTTTGTTTGCATACTACCTTGCATATATGTGAAGGTGAATGAATATAAAATCAAAGCAGAAATCTAAATAAATGCTTTTATACCACGATTAAATCGGAGAAGAAAAAACGAATTTTCTCATTCGAAATGATAAAACTATAGGTTATAGAGTATACTCGATTTGTCTTAAAGAAATTTTGTCTTAGCAACTTGCAAGCCATTAAATTCCTTTGATCGCATATTTATAATGTCTTATGAAGCACTTCTTAACGTTTTTCTTTCCTGTCATACCATTCTTTGATGAAAAAGTATTTTTGCATGTAGTCACAACTGAATGAAAAGAAGAAATAAAATAAATTGAATAATAAACGCATTCATTAAATAAGTAAAACAACATAACGACAGAGTGCAATGATAGACAAATGCAGTACGATGAAAATTCTCTCTTTAATAAATATTTGAAGATCTGTGGACGTTTCTCAGTAAGAAATTTGTTTTTATCTGAACATAACTGATCTTATGATATATTTCATTTTAAATAGCTTTTTAATCAGAATTTGAGTCTTAAATATTAAGTTATTTAAAACTTGTAGACATATTCACAGTTAAAACAAAGTACTCATTCGAAGAAAACTCCTTATATATAAACTATGAGATCGGCTTGAACAACATTAATTTTTTTGTATTAAAGTATAATAACAGAAGTTTACGTGATATTTTAACCTGTGGAAACTACAGACACAATATTTGGAGATATTCTCAAAAATAAAGAAATTTCATAGTTTTCTCAAATATTTTTAGGATTAATGATTCTACGAATCATTTTTCAGCGTAAATGAACTTCAAATTTTTCCTGCGTCTTTATCACTCATATTCATCTCCACACCTACTAATGGCGTCAACAATATAAGAAAGGATTCTGGTTAATTCAACTATTGAAAACAAAAACCAATGATTTCTTTTAATAATCAAATTAATGAAACGCAGAGCATTCTTATTAATCTTGTTTTGCAGTTTACCTTAGATTTATCAGTTGACTAAACGTTGTAATTATAGTAACTTTAGAAATTTTTCACAGAGTATGTTTTCTCTATACTTTGATTTCAACCTTGTGCTGCGGAAGAACTCAAGGCCAATGCCTTACTTGTTACTTTTAGAGTTCTTCAAAAATAGAATAGAACAGAAAAAGTGTACATTTCGTTAATCATAAAATGCGCAAAGACAGAATAGCATTTGAATTTTTCATTCTGCTTATATTTGCATTCGAGCGAGCATCAGTCAATAAAAACTATTCTTTTTGATAGCTTTCAGACTTGAGCACATACGATGAAACCTTCTACAAAGTGAGTTCTGTCATCTATTTTTGTTGTTCGACCGAGAGCAATGTCTGATTCTCTCTTACTTGAAAAAAATCATTTCAATCAAAAACTCAATTTATTTTATTCTAATAAATATTCGTACATACAGATATTTTTGCTTGCAAAATTTAACACAATTTTCATCGCTATCAGGGCAAAACTACTCATTCATAGCATAATCAAGTAAGTCTTAATAAAATGAAACTGGAGGCGTAGGTGAGAGTGTGGTATGAGTATTATATCCATTACACACCCATACCCACTCTCTTTTTAGGGTGACATATCGATGGAAATAATGATTTCAGTTGAGGTAGCTTTTGTTACTCCTTCAGTTCGTAACAATAAAAATGGCTTGGTCAATAGATTATTAATATTCCATGGACTTTGATTAAGTAAATAAGGTTAAGCGGCAAGGTCCAACTATAACACTGAGATCGCCTTGTAAGCGGATAGTTCGGTGTAAGTTTATGATTGTGAAATCTAGTTCTTGAGTATAAGGACGGACTACTACTAAACTTTTGATACGAAAAGAGTTTCGTAGCTATGGTTCAGTATGAAGCCTTTCAGATGATCTGTTGAGAAGGTCCGGCATTGAGAATTTCAAGCGAAGCCTAGACTTCAGCGTTTCCCAGCGAAGATTCTACACGGAATCTTTTTTGTACTAAATGGAAAAAAGGATCTTTCCGTGTATCGGCAGAATGAACCTTTTTTGGTTTGGTAAAAATCCTTTTTTTTTAGAGTGATTTAGAATGATTTATAATTCTATTATTTTTAGATTTATTACTTTTCCGACACGATCTTATACGAATCTATTATTCTTTTTTTGTTATTAAAATTTTGATTTTTCGATTCAAACATTTATTGTATTTTAATAAGAAAAATTTAATCATCATTGGACTTTAACAATATTCTACGTCTAATGGAAATTCATTTATATAAAGTACTTTTTCGAGAAAATTATCGCTCTATACTTTCTGTATTGTCGATAGTTATTTTAAGTTTTGTATTTTATTGTATTAACTCACTCAAATCGAACGTATTTACTGTTCAAATAGAAAAATTAATCATGTATAAGATAAAAGATTTACCTAATACGGTTAACTTAGTTAATTTACGAGAAGAAATTAATGAAAACTATACATGTATCAAAACAAAACAATTACTCTCAACTGTTCAAACAACAATTTGCCTGCATGATTCTCGTGACGCTGTTAGTAAAGAGATTTTGGAAAAGAAAATTTGGGAAGAAAAATATCTAATAAAACTATTAGAATTTCTTAAACGATATCCGCAAATGGATTTTATTGATGCTGGAGCAAATCTTGGTGCATACACGATGTTTGCAGCATCATTTGGAAGATATGCAATTGCAATCGAATGTTTCAAACCTAATATAAATCGAATTCGTAAAGCAGTACAAATTGAAAAACTTGAAAATAATGTTACATTAATTGGCAATGCAATTTTCTCTAGATCAGATCATTTTTTAAAAATAAAATCTGATCCATATAATGTTGGTTCACAAGCAATTATTATTGATAGTATTGTGACTTCTTCACTTATAAATGATACATATGTGGTAAAAACAATGCGATTTGATGATATTCTTCCAATATTAAAATGGAAAAACATTCGTCATGCAATAATGAAAGTTGATATTCAATGGGCAGAAATATATTTATGTCAAACTGGTGATAAAGTATTTGATTTTGTAAATATACCTGTTATTTTAATGGAATGGGATATTGGTGCTCGTCATGATGCTAGAATGCGTTATGTTTTGAAATATTTTCTAGGACGTGGCTATGTTGCAACTGTCGATATGTGTAAAATACTGGACGAAAATAATGCTCTTCGTTTTTGGCCATCGGATGTTTTCTGGATGAAAATGAACTTATCGGAGATTTGTTAGTCATGATAATATAGTGACATTTATGCTTGAACAAAATAATATAAACAATAAATTGGAAATATTTGACTATATCAATAAATTTTTACGGTTGATGACAAAACTTTAAATAAGTTTTCTTTTACGCATTAACAAATAACCATATGATCTAGGGTGTGGATCTAGTGTGAGTGTAGGTATGTGTTCGGATACTGTCTCCTACATAGATTAAGCCCACACCCACACCCTCAAGATCTAAAGATGAAATTCTGGAAATTTTGTCTTTATTAAAACTATTTGCTAATAATAAGCAAAACATTTGTTCATTTATTGGAATAGTTTCTTTTTTTACTTGGTTGTTCTCAACTAATGAAATTATTTCTACTGAATAAAGTAAATTTTCATTATCACTTTGTTTTATTTGTTGAATTGTTAAACACGATGAAATATTTAGAAAAGCTTTTCTTGGAGACACCCTTGCCCTCAATTATATTTACATTCACAACCATCCACCTTCGCACCTAAATATGGCACTGTGATTACTTTAGCAAGTATAGTTAACGTTGAGGGTGGGAGTGTGGGATGTACGCGATAGTGGAATGAATCATTCAGCGCTCATGTACACCTTCACCTCACCAACCCACCAACCCACCCACTCGCTCACGTCGTCAACTGCACACCCGCACTCATTCTCGAAAGAAATACAAGAAAAGAAGATCATTCAATCAGATGCATGTTTCAGTTCCAATGAGACTTCTATAGAATCTTCCCATATCCTCGATTTTTTATCAAAACCAGCAGTTGAAGTCGATTTTTCTATTATTTCGTTAGAAAATGTCATAAACATGTTATTTTTCATCAAAAAAGTCTGTTTCTAATAATTTACAACATATTTCACAAAAATCTCGAAAAGTCGTGATTATAAGTTAAGACTCAAACTAATGGCTATTTTTAATTATATTCAAACTTGAATATCCAGCAAAATTAGGCAATGTGGCTAGTATTAACGGTTTCAGCACGTTTACATATATAAGAGGCGTGATTTCCACTAAAATTTGACAATTTTTAAAATTTAAAAAGTATTTATTTAGTCAGAAATGAAACAATGTAAGGAAAAATGACCGCGATTTGCTCCACATAAGTTCATAGTCATATTCAAAGCCTTTTGTTAAAATTTTAGAAAATTCTTATTGAGCAGTGAGAAAGATGTCAACATCTAATTTCAGTTTTATAAATATGGCACTACTCGGCACTGAAGGATGAATTAAATTAGTTTTAAAAAAAGTCACATACCTATAGTTTCCGCAAGAATACTATTAATATATCATATGAAATATAAGCTGTAATACATAAAATAATCAACATCTTCATTAACGATAATCTTTATTGAGGAGAAAATGGAATTTAATATCTTAAAAGACTACTGGCAATGTATTGCGCAGATGAATACAGAATGCGTTCTATAAGTACATTATTGTTTAATTAAATAGTTTACGACATTTTTTTATATTAAATTTTAGATCTTTCAGGAAAAGAAGAAAAACACAAATAATAAAAAACTATATCATTTTGAATAAAGTAATATGTCATCGTCGTCCGTATCTAATGGAATTCTCAAATTTGCTACACAATACTCGCTTTATACTGGCTGTATTACATTCGGTTTTGGAATTATTGGTAATGTTTTAAATCTTCTCGTTTTTACTCAATTGAAATTATTTCGAACTAATCGATGTGTCTTCTATATAACTATTGAATCAATTTCCAACTTATTTTATCAATTTTTCTCTATGAGCCTAACTATGTTAATATCAATATATGGAGATGATGCAACAGGGCGTTCTTCAATTTGGTGTAAATTCAAATCTATATTAGGACAAATAACTGCGCTCATTACTTTTTACATGATATGTTTTTCTGCTGTTGATCAATTCTTTTCAACAAATCATCGTTTTTATTTAAGACAAATGTGTACATTGAAATTAGGTCGATATTTTACGTTTATATCCATTTGTTTTACGATCATTCATAGCATTGTACTTGGCTCTTCTTTTGATATTCACCCAACATTAGGATGTGTTCTGTCGAATTATGTAGCGGTTCAGTATTCAACATATTTCTTTTATCCAATTTTAATTGGTTTTCTACCTATTATAATTGCATCATCGTTTAGTATCTTAGCTTATCATAATGTTCGTCATATAATTCGACGACAATTACCAATTGTACGTCGTAAATTAGATAAACAAATAACAGCAATGATTCTTATACGTGTAATAGCCTTCGTTTGTTTGTCACTACCTTATAATGCTTATCGTATCTATGCCGTTAATTTTCCCACACCACGAGGTATGCCTATGGCATATGCAATTAGTCGATTGCTTCAAACAATTTTTCTTTCTGTCTACATTATAAATTATATGGTAAACTTATTTTCTTCGCTAATTTATATTTCTAAGATTTTGCTTTATTTTAGATCAGCTGTTATATTTTTATAATATTCTCAACACGTTTTCGTCGTCAAGTAAAATTTGTTCTCTTAAAAAAATGTTGGCAACGATGGAAATATTGGTGTTGCTCCATAAATAATCGAATTGAACCTGACAACAATATTGAAACACGCAATTCACAAATGGAATCCGAAGAAAATATCTAACTGTTTATCAAATAAATATATTAATTCTCACATTTCTGTTTTTTCGAAAGGGTGTGGGTGAGTATAAACATCGAATAAATTGACGGATATCTTTAAAAGATTTCAAGAGTTCTCATCATTCTCTCTGTATTTTAATTCCCGATTATGAAATCTAAATGGCCTATATGCGGCTCAACAAAGTTGGGTGCTTGTGCTGTTTGCACAAATTAGTGATACCCTTCCGTATATGAAGCGGTTTTCTTCCTATCATTGTGTGAAATATATCGAGATGTTTTGTCATGTAAAACACATTATTTTTTTCTACGGTTGCTCTTTTTAGTAAAAAAAGTCATAGAACAAACCACTAGACATTCTGTATGTATTCTATTTGATTTCATGCGTCAGATACAGTAAAATTATTCGATGTGTAATGACGTTCGTACTATTTGTTGTCGTAGTAGAAAGAATAATTGTTTTTTTTCCGAAAGGTTTATAAAGAAATGAAAAAATCATTACTTTACCATTGAATTTCAAATATTTATTCGATTATTGTGAAGATGAGTCTCTTTTGTGACGATGGTTGTTATCCAGTGGCACGTAACTATTCAACAAAACGAAGATCAAGCCGAGCAGATGGATCATCATTTGAAGTAGCTTCTGTTGCAGCCAGAAGTGTTAAAGACAAATATTCTTTGAAAGTTCCAACACCTTTTGGTACTGTGAAATTCAATGAAAGTCATACACGAAATGCAGCCAAAGCTTCACGTGCAAAAGCAAGCCGATTTTCAGCTGCTTCAAATAGTATTTCTCATGGAGCTTCCTTCTTCTAATTTCAAATGCTTTTCATCAAAACATTATTCGTATAGTACTTTTTGCCTCTTTCTTTTAATTATTAACATATATCTCTTAGCAATTTCTTCCTCAGTATTGAATAGCTGTCTTTTGTAAGGATTTATTTGATTAAATAAATTTTCAAAAAAACAAATCTTATGAATTATTTCGAACGAAAGCAATAATAAAAAAATACAATACTGGCCCAGATATACAAACAAAAAATTTGTACGCATTGCTTTCAAACGAGAAAATGCCAATCGATTATTAGACAAAAGAAACATTTTCATGATTGTCTACTCGAGAATATAAAAATTAACTTATCTTCAAATTTCATAAAATTTTGATCCATCAAAAGCAATTCTTTTACTTCTTCACAGTTTTGTTACTACCAATGATCTATTTGAATCACAATTTAATGATAATCAACTATTGAACACAAGTAATTTACTAGGGTGGGTGTGAGTGCGATAAATAAGATGTATTCACATTCACACCCAAACCTACATCTGCACTCACCCACACCCTTAATCAACTAGTCAATAAGTTTATTATTAACCATAAATCACTTCAAAATTAGACATCTCGACTTTTTCCTGAAGTTTCTAATTCTCAAACGCTGTTTTGATTAATCTTCTAGAAAAATAAAAAAGCAATATCGAACAGAAAGCCATAAATTGTAATTTCTCTCAATATAAACGTCAATAGAGGAAAAGCCTGTACGACAAGTTTGATAAGAATTATATTTTACGGTTACAATCGTCGTTTCGATTTTCATCGAAAGATTATTATAGAAAATATAATCATCAAGTAAATTTTCTTATCTACCTATGACAACATCTGATTTAATGGTTTAGTAATCATAACATTGAAAATAAATCAGAATGATTCTTTTCTTAACCATATAGAAAAAGTATTTAATAATGGGTCGCAAAGCATTTAACAAAAATATACGTATATTGATAATTCTGAAATAATTGCTGATAAAATTTGCATTAAACGAAATTTTCTCAAGTTTTAATCAATTAATTATTGTATTATATTCAATAGGTATCATTTCAAGAGATTAATTATTATTAGAAAATTATTTTACTGCGTATTAAAAGTATATTCTATTCATTAGCTTTATATAGCTGATTTCTGAGTTTTTAATGACTGCAAAACATATTCATTTCGTTTTCCAAATCTATGTGATATTGCTCTATATGAATCATTTCATTTTTACGGTAAAAATCTTGATATTCAGAAAATTGTTCATATTTTATGATGATCCTCCGATTACAATGTTATTTGTTAATCAAAAGTAAAAACAAATTGATATTTATTTTTATTTTAAATCGATCGATACAAAGGTGGCAATTATGTTCGAGGATAGAGATCCACTTCGAACAAATTCAACGTTGATATAGTTGTTGTTCTATTAAAGTAGACTTTCTTTTTATTTCAAAATAAATTAATCAAGAAAAAAAAACATTTATTTTTCTTCTTTTAAACATTTATGAATTTATGATATTCAATATGAAATATTCTAAAGGTGTGAATGTGTGTGATGGTATTGTGCTATGAACATTTGGATCGGACGCAAACACAACCCCACACCCACACCCTCAAGAACAATGTGGGAACAAGTAAACCGAGTTTAGATATTGAAGAAAAAATTAATATGATAAGTTTTATTTTTATTGATTGAATAAGCATAAAGCGTGACTAATACGAACAGAAACGAAAAGCAATAAAATCTTTGTTTATTTAAGATAAATTTGTAGCCGGATTAACTATACTATTCACCCGACACACTTTTTTGACAACAATAATAGCAATTAATCGACAAATAATAACGAAACCACCATATAAACCAATTAATGTTAATATTCCTTCAATAGCATTCCTTTTGTCAACATATGTATAAATACATAATGATGGTGAACATTGATTAAAATAATTCGGATAATTTATTTCAAATTTTAATTCTTCAATCATTAATTCATTGACAACTGATTCAATTGTTTGATTTACTGAAAAACGACTTGTTTCTAATGATGAAATATTTATTGAGTTGAAATTATTTGTTGAATCAATACATTGTTGATTATAAAAACAGTGTAATGTTGTTTGAAATATTGATTCAAATGGATAACAACCAGTTAACATTCCATGTGATGAACTAACACATTTAGATGATGATGAACAACTACATTCAGTATAATTTAAGGGAAACATAAGAGTAACCCTTAAAAGAAGGTCATTATATGAACCATCTAACTCCCAATTACTTAGGTATACGGTCATGAACATATTACTACTAATTGTTTCTCGAATTAATGAAATACTATTGACAAATGATTGTGAAATTGTTTGTTGAAATTCATTAATAAACATCTCAATTGTATTATTTAACATATAGGATGGTAAAAGTTGATTATTATTAAAATGCGTTGTTTCTAATTGAAAAGTTGATTCAAAAACTGTTTCTTTTGACAAAATACAAAATGAGGAAAGTAATTTAAATTGTCCAACTGCTGAATTGTAAAAATCATATGGTGAATGTCGTTTATCATTATCTCTTTTCTCATATAAATATGAAAACCACCGATCTGTAATAAAGTGACTTGAACATATTTCATGAAACCGAGTTGTTAAAGTTAAAAATGATTTATATTTCATTGATGATTGTAAACATGGACATTCCAGTGTATCATTATATTTTTTATATAAATCTTCATAGATTTCTAATGAAGGTTTATCGGTTTCAATAAGAATTACACGAGGAGTAAAAGCAGAAAATATATAAAATGAAGTAAGAATTCCAATAACTAAAATGACATGTAATCGATGAATAATTTGATTTTGAGTATGACAAATAAAGATTTCTTTAATGAAATTGAATGAAATTAAATGAAAGAAATTATTTGAAAAAATTTTGTTAATAAATTCCAGACTAATCATAATTAAAAGTTTCAATGCAAGTGATAAACCACCAAATATACTTATAATAGTTGTAATACTAATAAATATATTATTTCGACCATCATATTGATATGTACATGATTTTGGTAAACATTTTTCATAATAAGATGAAAAAGAAACAGTTGGTAACCATTTATCAACCATTAATCGATTGAGAATCTCTTCAATTGTTTCATTTGGTTGATTTAAATTTTGATTAAGAGCAGAAAAATTGAAAGGTACTAAAGAACCCAAATCGTTATCAATTGTTAACATACATGATAGATTATAAAAACATTCTAGTGTTGATATAAATAATGATTGAGTTGGATAACAACCATAAAGAAAATTCGGAACTGGATATGGATCAGCAAAGTATCCCTTATCTTCAAAGGTACGATAAAGTTCAACAGTAGAATAACAGGATGAATTTAAAATACAATTACATCCTAGGCTTGTTTCTGGGCTTACATATACTTCTAAATTTTTATCTACTAGAAAATTACCAGTATGTATACTACTAATCAACTGATTTCCTTGATAAATTCCTTGAATTAATTGAATAGTTCTTTTAAAAGTATTTGTCGTTGTTAATTTCCAATCTTCAATCGATGAGTCTATTTGATTTTGAAACGATTCTTTTGCAAGAGCTTGTGAACTAACGAATTCTGTTCTGAGAAAAATCTCAAGTGCATTATCAATGGTTTCCTTAGCTTGTTCACAAAATATTGATAATAATTGAAAATAATTGGTAGAAATTATTCGATAATCAAAGTAATACATATTATTTTCATTGATACTTTCCTTCATGTAATGAATCCATCCTTCAGAAATGAGATCACTTTGACATAATTGATGATATTGTGGTTGAATTGTTGTAAAATTTAAATAAGGTATTGATACTGAACTGCATGGGCATGAAAGTGATTGAGAATATTTTTCTTGAAGTTGAGTAAACTGAGATTCAGTAGGATAAGAGATCGTTTTTGATTGAATTGACTTTTGTAAAAATACATAAATAGTTATAATTATCATTGAACCAATGAGCAAAAATATATATAATCGTGTTCCATAACGTTGAAATTTCGTTTGTTGATCTGTATTAGAAGAATGTTTGAAAATGTTCAATTCAATTAATTTTTTTTGAACAGTTTCTTTAAATTGATATAAACGATTTTTGACTAAATATTGAGAAAAGAAATATAATTTTATTTTATCAAAATATGCAAAATCAATTTCCTTTAACTATTGTCATGACTAAAATCATCAACTGATTATCATTAACTTTTTTTTCCTTCTTTCATCTTTTTCTTTTTTTTCTGTTTTATTCTTAATTATTAATTTGTTACTTTTCCACTTTCTCATTGATAGTAACTTTTACTTACAAGAAATTCGCGGTTTTGGTGTTCGATCTCGTCGTTGTATAATGAATCGAATAACAAGTGGAATTATTAACCCCAGTATTAATGCCAAACTAGACAATAAGCCAATCAATTTTTTCAAGACATGACCAAAATCTCGTCGAGATATTTTCAAATAGGTACATGAAGATGGTGCACATTCTGAATAATATTTATCATAAGAAATATTCATTGTCCAATTTTCAATCATCAATTTATCAATTACTGATTGGACAGTTGATGTTGGTTTATATAAACTTTCATTATTTATAATCATCGTTTTGAATTTTTTACTTGTTGGAAAATATGAAATAAGTTCGTTTACACATGTTTGATTGTAGAAACATTCAAGTGTCGACTGTAGGATTGTAAATCCTGGGAAACAACCTGTTGATATTCCTGGTATAGACCATGCCAAACTATTCTCGGAATCAAACTGCGTAATGTCTCCAAATTTATCGACAATACCTGACTGTATTTGATTACATTTGTTCAGTATGCAATAACACTTAGAACCATTCGTTCGTCGGTACGATTGTACATGTAGACCAACTACTACGCGTAAGTTTAAGAAAGTGTTGGTGGTTTGTACTGCAGGTATTAACTCATTGGCGATTGTCATTTCAATGACTAATTTTAGTTGAGTATTAAAAGTATATGGTGTTTTCAGTTTGAATTGTTCAATTGTTGCATTGATGTATGACTGCAGAAATGTTTCCGATAAGATTTGTGGACTTAGCAATATATTTTGAGAAATGATATTAATACTTTGATTAGTATATGATTCTGACAAACGACAATAAGCAGCAAGTGCTTGAAACTGGGCATTACCAAAACGTCGAAAGTCATGAAAAGCAAAATAAGTTGTATTTGTTTTCGAATCAACTGCATTTAGCCATCGGTCAGTAATAAAATCACTTGAACAAACTTGATGAAAACTTGTTTTCAATGACATAAACTTTCCATATGGAATAGAAATATGAGAACATGAACATTTTGCATTCATAGGCAGACGTTCAAATTGTTCTTTTGTTGGATTTGGTATAGTAACCATCACCCGTTGTTCAAGTAATAATAAAACAAGACCAATAATAAAAAGAATGGATATAACAAGTATAATATAAGTTCGTGTACCAATAATATTCCATCGACGTTGTTGATCATTTTCCTGTTCATTGGAATCGGGTGATGGTAAAAATAAATTTAAATTCAGAAAATATTCTTTTAAGGACGACATTTGTCACAGAATAATAAATATCACTTGTAAATATTTATTTTGATTACTCTGAATATAAAATTAAAACTTTCATGAAAAACAATGGTACCATTGTCAATTAGTGTCTCATGGCTTCGTTATCTCATTACTTTATTATATTAAATATCAGTATTTTAAATTTAAGGGCAATGTAATATCTACAGAATCATATCATGAAGGTATGAGAGTTTTTGATATCAAACACTTACTTGAGTCGGCTTAGAATCAAAATGAAGAAAAACAAAGTTAAACATACATAAAATAGGAAAAACTAGTTTCTATATTTGATGAAATTATTCATCATAAACTTAATAAATGAAGACAAGAAAAACATGCTATTTATTATTTTGGATCTATCAGTGACATAATAAATCAAAATATTTCTAATGATGTTAGAAAAAGTAAAATCATGGTTTTCTCTCAGATTCATCAATCATAAAAGATTAGAATAGGTAATGAATATACACGTAGGTGTTTAACATATACAAAAAAAAAGTACAAGAATGATTCAGATATAATTATAAATCATATTTTGAACTTTTATGCCGTTCAATATGGACTACATGAGTATGAGTACAAAATTTCCTCAAATTAAAATGATATATTATAATTTACTGAAGCAAAGATACATGTATTGATATGAAAACATTCACCAACTCTAATTCTGAGAATTATTGAAATTGGTATTCATCATCTCAGTACTTCTATGGTTTTTGAGTGAATTCATGTTTTTATATATTCTTTTTCATCAAGCTCCAAGATACTATTTCATTCGTATTTATGTATCTCATTTTTTTGAGAGAAATTTTTAATCCATCCTTCAATATGCTTTCAGAAAACTCTTGATTTCGATTGAATTAATATTTTTCTTTTTATCATCAAATCTTTGAAAATGATTGATAGTATTATTGAATAAGAAATGTTTTTATGTATTTCTCATTCATATTATTTTATATTACTAGAGAAGAAAGATTCAAGATTTTTTCATTACAATCGATTAATTTATAATGAAAATATTTCGAGAGTATTTTAAAAGTTAGACATTTCTTTTATTTGATTTCTAAATTCTTTGGTTTTATAATATGATTTACTAATGATAATTGTTCATCATGAACTCAAAAACTAATAATTAATCTTTACTTGATTTTGTTCATTAAGTAAATATAAGAATTCTCCATTCTAACTAATAACTTTATTAATATAAGAGAAAAATTTCTTAAAAATAAGCCTATTAATTGTTCTTTGCTCTCGACCATAAAAAAACTGTATCTGTTGCGTAATTTTAATACACAAGTATAGACCAATTCCTGCTCATCAGAGAAAAACGATATTTAATCACGTATAATTTCTAAAGTACTAAATGGATGTGGGTGTTGATATGATTTTCATGTATACCAGGCATTCAGGCCTACGCCTGCACCGTCACATTATCTATTTCTTAAAGACATCACAATACCAATGAAAGAGTTTTTAGTCAGCCCGATTTTCATCTATATTCATATGAGGTGATTCGAAAATGGCAGCTAATCTTAAAGAAATAAAAAAAACAAAACATGATTGATGATTAATTTAAAGAGCGTGTTATTGTAATACCTCTTCAAAATAAGTTTTCTTTCATCGATCATTTATATATTATTTATCTACACATATAAAAGCACTTCATCAATTGCGCATGAGAATTTATTGGCACGACATAACTACGTCATTGGCATATGCACATATGAATTATATTCATCATCAAAACATCAGCAGCTTGTGGGTGAATGGGTGGGTGTGAATGCCGATGTGGGTGTTGATATTGTATCCATTTCTCGCACCACCCACACCCATACCCACATCCTTGTAATTTTATTCTTATTTTTTGAGAAATTATAAAATTAAATAATTTAAGTCAGTTATAAAGCTGTTTCCACTACATTTTTAGACTAACTTATGTATATCAAGGATTTTTATATGAAAAACTCTGAAAGAAAAATATTTATTAAGAACTATCTGTGTGGAACAAAGGAGTTGGTTAAAAAATTATTCATCAAGTCTAGAGTATCTCTTTTTTTGTAGAACTTTGTAATGGATATGACCAGATCATATCACAGTTACCATCAAAATAGATTTTTCATTATTTTGGAAAGTTAACTAAATTCTACAATTTTGTATTGTTTGTAGACGTACGAAGAAGTCTCCGATATTTAAATCAACAGTATAAGTTTTCTTCTTTCATCGTCTCCTACGATCTTCATTTACCGATACTTACACATTCTTGTTATTCTAGATCAAATTCAACGTTCATTGTATTGAACGTAACAAGAAACTATTTTTCTAATTATTGTTGTGTCTGTAATGAACATTTACCTATTCATTTTTTTTTTGTTAAATTTGATTTTGAAAATATAATTAAAACTGTTACTTGATATGTTGTTAAATAAGAGAAAAAGACTAATTATTAGTATAGCATTTGTGTTTTCTTAATATTCGAGCACACCACAATATTTTACTTTTTACTCTAAAATCCCATTGAGACAATGATAGATTTTAAGAAACGAGTGTTTTGGCGTTTTACATTTAAAGACATATTAACTATTATATCGCCAGTTGCTATACCCATCGCTCTTGCTATTTATACTGCAGTTGGATATCAACAACAAAAACAACAAGCTGAGAAAAAACAAAAGTTTGATTTGGAACAATCGAGAGAATTAAGACAACAAACACTGTATGATGAATTTTTAAATAATATTTATAAATTAGATAAAGATGGTTATCTTAACGATACAAAAAATCCATGGGCATTTGCAAACGCATATTATCGTGCTGCTCATCGTCAATGGGATACAATACGTAAAGCAGATGTTTTACAATTTCTTAAAGAAAAACAATTAATTGGTAGAAATAATTGTAGTAATGAATGTAAAACAACAAAATTAGATGATATAATCCGTTTGAATGAATTAAATTTTGATAATGTTCATCTAGCAAGTGAAACAGGTATATTAAACAAGTTGAATTTACAATGTGTTTCTTTTGATCAGATATCAATGTCAAATGGGGAGTTTGTATCAGTTAATTTAAATGGTGTATCATTTGATGGAGGACGATTAAATAATGTTAAATTTGATGGTTCATCGTTACTTTGTGCTAGTTTCAATCGTGTAAATCTGGTGGAAGTAAATTTTGGAAACTCAAATCTGACAGGTGCACACTTCTCAAACAGTGATATGACAGGAGCTAAGATTACGGAAGAGCAAATAAATCAGGCATCTGTTGATAATGTAATCATGCCAAACGGACGAAAGAGTGCAACTACATCATCAACGACAACAAAAAACCTATAACACAAACAAAAACAACAACAACAACATCATCATCATTATCACCAACTACATCGCCGACAACAACGCCATCATCAACATCAACATCAACCACAATTTTAACAGCAACTTCAACACTAACGTCAACATCAACTCCGACATCAACAACAACAACAACAACGTCGACAACAACGTTAACAATAACATCAACAACAAGCACAACTACAACTACAACAACAACTTCAAACACAACAGTATCATCAACAATAAAGTCAACAACATCTACTATAACAAGGACCACAACAATAACAGCAACAACGACAGCAACATCAACAATAACAACATCAACATCAACAGTAACGACGACAACAACAGTTGTTCCTAATTGCAGCCCAAGTGTTTGTTGTAGTGCTGTAAGTTGTACTACTTGTGTTTATAGTAGTACTACTTATTACTGTCTTCTTTACTCGAATCCACCTGGTTATAATTTGTATACTAGTGCTAGCAGTTGTGCTAGTGATGGCGGTGCTGATATTTATTGTAACTATAATACTACTTGTGGTATTGGTGCTGGTACTCCTGGTCTTGGTTCTGGTAATGGTTGTAAATAAAACATATAAGTCCTATTTTGTTTTTCGATTATGAACATTAGATATGGAAGAGAAAATTAACTCAATATTTCTTTAGTCTCTATTATACTGCATTTTTTTATTCAGTCGAATACAGATCGACCTATCTCTTAAAAAAACAGAAGTTGAGTCTGCTAGTTTCAACTTTTACTTTTTTAGTATCCGCTCGTTTGTTAACAAGTATTCTTCTTTTCTAGATGTGCCTGTAAAATATTTAATTAAATGCAAAGTTTTAATTTTCACCGACATGTTTCGTATCTTTTATAATATAGTATTCTTCAGGGCTATATGTATCTCTGAAATAGAAAAAAACAAAATATGATAATGATTATTATATCGTAAAGTGCAAAGAAACATGTATAACAACCAATAGGAGATATATGATTTATTCCAAATAGAGAAAAGCTTACAAAATTCATTAATTTATATAAATGACGATAATCCATATACTCTAATGCATTATAAAAAGAAAAGAATAGATGATGTGTAACCTTTACTTGATGGTGGACATAATGCTCTCTTATGTAAACATGGGTGTGGGTGTGAGTATTTATTTTATTCCACACCCACACCGACACTCTCAACAAAAAATCGATCAAATTTATAAAGTAATGGTTAGATACATATCAAATGAGAATAAATCATGTTTATTAAACTTAGAAAACGAATAAATACCCATCAAAGAGGAACTCACGAAGCGAAAAAACCATAATAGAATAAGAACGAACGAAATATATATATAGTAAACATATATGAAGAAAGAAAAAGCAAATATATATGAATAAAACCCTTATGACATGACCTAGGTACATGCAATAGCAGTAATATAGCGCATAAAATATCTTATACTTAAAGTTAAAAGAATCGTAGCGATGACTTTTATTTGTGTTTTAATAATAATTTACTTGTCCATTTTTGAATAAAATGTACAATAATAACGATAATAATAGTTGAAAAAAAAAGTTTTGGTAATTTAAGTACAAAAAATCTTAATTTAACTTGCTGTTGTTTATAAAAATGAGGGATTGGATGTAAACCTTCTTGTATTTCTACAAATGGATTATATTTATTTCCATATATCCATCGTGTTATATGATAATAAATACGAATTGGTAAAAATCCTAACTGTAGTGTTGCTGATGAAACTTTATAACTAAATAAAAAACAAAATCTATATGATCTACAAAATTTATTTTAAGATAAATTACTTTGCAGAAAAGACTGATGTTGATACATTATTAACCATTAAATAACCAGTTAATGTAAGTGGAGCATAAAAACCTTGACTAACTGTTATTGAGATATTTGTTATTTCCACTGTTTTACCAAACATAATTAAACGATCTTGCATAGTTACTGAGTCTGCACGTTTCATTGTTATTTCATTTCTTATTGTATCAAATACAGGTAGGGTGTGAGAGCCTGTTAAACTAAATTGACCACCTTCAACACTTTGAAATGTATAAAACATAGCTTAATAACAAGAAATAAATGAAAATAAATTAATATGAAGAAAATAAAAGATTAAAAACCTTTTTGACTTGGTTCATTATGCATCATTAAAACAATTTCATCTTCAACAAGTTCAAAATTATGATCATTAATTGACCAAATTTTATCTCCAACTTTTAAATTTTTTATATGACGTTGTCCACCTTCGACCAAACTAACAAGATCTCCACCATAATAACATCCTGTGGTAGTGGCGGTTTCTGCAGGTGTTGTAGTTGACGTTGTTGTGCTGATTGTTGTGGATGTTGATGTTGTTTTTGTTGATGTTGTAGCGGTTGTTGTTGTTATTGACGTTGTTGTGGTGGTTGTTGTTGATGTTACGCTTGTTTTTGTTGACGTTGCAGAGATTGTTGATTTGACATTGATAAGAAGTATGGGTATAAGTACTGCAGTCAGAAATGTAGCTATACCAATCACTGTACAAACTCCAATCCAAATTTTAAAGCGCGCATTCCTTTTAAAATTAAATAGTTAGTGAAATTCTCTTTGAAATCATTTGTTAGTTAGAGAAATTTAATACTTACCAGCGATTATGTTTTACAGAAACCAAATGATTAGCAGGTACTGGTATAGTTTTATGTTGATTACGCGGTGGAAGATGTATTTCTTCTATGCCGTTCATTTTAGATTGAGAAATATTCTAAAAAAATTTACAAATTAGAAATAGGGTATGGGTGTGAGGGTACGGATGTGAGATATGAACAAAACTCACGCTCACACCCTCAAGATTTATCGATAAACTTAATCAAATCTCTGCTAGTAAATTGTGTCAAGTCATTTTTTATTATAAAATAGTACAAATTTTGGTACACATTGAAATATAGATACCTTAAAAACTATAAAATAACGAGAAGAGATATATCCGAATAAATATTTACAAACATTTGATAATAAATAAATTCTGGTTGCAGTGCATTTAGTTTTCTTAACAACTTACCCAAACAAGTAAAGGAATAGAAGTAATTATGTTTTCTTTTTTTTTTCTACTGTTTCTCATTTTTCTTCTAAAACTCTTGAGATTACTCACAAAAGCATTCAACCGAGTTTTATATTCTTATTTATTAACACATACGAATACCTTTTTACTTTATACAATATCATCAATCGATATTGATCTATTATCTTCTCCGTTTATTAAAAAATACCAATGATGAGCCCTATCCTTTGTATCATTTTAATATTTATTAATTTATTTTATAATAATCAGACTTCAACTTCCATATACTCCTGGGGTCCAAAGAGTACTGCATATTACAGCAGAGTGTACGCAGTACGTGGTTTCTTCCTTGTAATAAATCTAGATGATATATTGTCATGTTTTGTTACTTATGATATTCTACATGGACGAGCAAGACTCTTCAAACATATTGAAAAAAAAGAAACAATAATGAGATTTTTCATTTTAAACAGGAAAATAATTAAAGCATATCTATGAACATTAAAAAATGACAGTTGTAATAAAAATCGTTCATTATAATAATAAGTGATATTAGGTTGTTCGAAAAGTTCGTGCAACAACCCTCAGAGTACATTTATAAGATTTTTCATCTATATACCATTGTGTAGAGTGCAAAATTTTAGTAAGATTCGCTCTCCTCTATACTGATTGTGTTAATTTCATTGTCGAAAAAAAACACGAAATTTTCATGTGTTTCAGAGACGACTGAATTGAGTATTCTAGGTGTATTTTTTTGAGGACGAGCAATTGGTATCAAAATCATTTGTGTATAATGTGTTAGGATTACGATAGAGAAACTCCTTGCGAGTATCTGCTATATACTCAGTGATTTTAGATAAAAAAACTTTCCAAATATTCGATTTTGTTGTCTCTGAAACACATCTAAAATTTGTGTTTTTTTTCGACAACGAAATTAACACAATCAGTATAGATAAGAGTGAATCTTAGTCAAACGTTGCACTCCACACAATGGTATAGATGAAAAATCTTATGAATATACTCTAAAGGTAGTTGCACAAACTTACCAAACAACCTAATATATTGTCTTGTTTTATTATTTATGATATTCTGCATGGACAAACAAGACTCTTCAAACACAATGAGAAGAAAAAGAAATAATAATGAAATTTTTCATTTTAAACAGGAAAATAATTAAAACATATCTATAAACATTATCAAATAGCAACTGTAATAAAAAATCTTTCATTCGAATAATAAGTGATACTATTAACATGTGATTAAATATACGAATCGATCATCAAATGACTAATAACTTATATGAATAATGAGATAACTTGGCAAAAATAACATACCTTCTATCAACTACCACTTATCCTCAGTTTTAAATTCCGATTATTTATAATTGTATTCAAGATATTAAGTTTTCTCTTGTGATAGGGTGTGGGTGAACATAAGAGTAATATCTATACTTCATGTTCTCATATTTATCTTTTGCACAAAAATTTATTTATTATTGAAAAAAAACATATTTTAATAAGAAGTGTTTCAATAAATTTAATTAATCTTGATTAACGTCTTGATATACATAATCTTGAGGGTGGGTGTTGGTCTGAGTATTCTTTTATCAGACTCCCACCCACACCCTCACATTTAGCTTGTATCATATCGGTATTCATAGAATAAAATGTAGCTGTTAGGTTAATATTGCTAGATGATAATAGGACTGATTTCGCTAACAATTCACACAATTTGAAAAACGAATGCATAAAAAAACTATGGACGAAAATAAAATCGTAAAAAACACACATTTTTACGGTTTTATTTTTGTTAAAATTTTAATGCGTCATGTTTCGTTGTTTGTCTGTCCGAGAGATGTGTTGGTTTTTTCCATCTTTCTTTCACTTAAAAATACATGTCATGTCGTTAAACAGAAAACCTTTTTCTTTTACATTGCTTACACGAAGTATCATAAAATGAAGATAGTCTCTAACGATGGCCAAGAATTCGACATTGATAGTGATATAGCAAAACAATCTACAATGCTCAAAATGTTTTTCGATGATGAGTGTTTGAATTCAATCATAGAATGTTCTGATGGACCCATTCCATTACCGAATGTCAAAGGTTCTCTCCAAAAACCAATAAGTTGTTTGTTATACATGTCGTTTTTTATCACTTAATCTATTTATTGTCTTTCTGATCATTGATTTTCGTGATTAGCATAAAAATGATCGTGAAGAAAAAGTTTCGGATGACGACGATGACCCCAACCAGGATATTTATGAACCAAAACGATGAGTTTAATTCTACAGTAAACTTATCTCTTCCTAACCTTTCACTGACACCTGTTTGCGTGAAATTAGAGATAAATCATTATAAGTAACGTAATTACAATATAGGAAGATTTTTCGATCGTTCTATAGTAGTAAAACAGTCCAATGTGAAAGTGAAATGAGCTAAGAGCAGACAATGAAACATTAGCAAAGCAATCTAACCCAATTTAATGATAAATCTCGATGTTCTTTTTTATTTTTCAGCTCTGATGATATTAGTGAATGGGATCTTATATTCATGCAACAGTTTACAGTTCATGAGGGCACACTTTTCGATATCATGATGGCAAGTTTATTTCGTTATTCAATATGGAAAGAATATCGTTTTGATATTTTTAGGCAGCTAATTTTCTAGGCATCAAAACTTTACTCGCTCTCAGTTGTAAAACAATTGCAAATATGGCACATGGCAAATCCAACTTAGAGGTGCAAGAGATGTTTAATATTACTTGAGGTAGGTGTTGTTGAAGAAGAAACAATCGTATGCGCACCCTCCCGCTCTTCTATTAGAATATCTTCTTTATTTTAACTTTCCTTATCTATGATTATAAAACTAAAGAAGATAGTCACATGTAAATGAGATATTTTTTGTGTGTAAATAATAAAGTTACGATATAAAATATATGAAGTTTTTTATTTGTTGTCTATTTCTCTTAATTTCTAATATAATCACTTTAACAAATTCAGTAAAATCATTGAATAAATGTGGTTATGATGTAAGTGGATTTGAATATTCTATTGTGATTATTTCGAATAAATCTTATTAGGCATGCACTTTGGGTGATGCAACAAAACTCAATGTTCATCTTGTTCCACATTCACATGATGATGTTGGATTTGTTAAAACATTAGATGAATATTATTATGGATGTATGTAGAATTTTTTCCCTTTTGAATACCTTGTTTTGAATAAAATCTTTTTAAGCTCGAAGTGATCTTCAACATGCTGGTGTTCAATATATTCTTGATTCAGTTGTTCTTGCATTAGATGAAAATCCTGATCGACGATTTATCTATGTTGAAATAGCTTTCTTTTATCGTTGGTGGCTTCAACAAACAGATGAAATTCGTAATAAAGTTAAAGATTTTGTCAATTCAGGTCGTCTTGAATTTATTTCTGGTGGTTGGTGTATGAATGATGAAGGAACAACACATTATAATTCAATTATTGATCAACATAGTTTAGGTCTTGAATTTCTAAATGATCAATTTGGTGAATGTGGTCGACCAAAAATTGGTTGGCAAATCGATCCGTTTGGCCATTCACGTGAACAAGCTTCTCTTCTTGCACAGGTCAATCAATCTTTTTTATATAAAAAAGTGTATATAAATTATCTTTAGATGGGTTTTGATGGTTTATTCTTTGGTCGTGCTGATTATCAAGATCTACAAAAGCGTAATACAACAAAATCAATGGAAATGATTTGGAAAGCAAGTGCTAATTTAGATCGTCAAAGTTGGTTATTTACTGGTATTTTACCTCGAAGATATTCAACTCCAGCAACATTCTCGTTTGATTTTATCGCACCAGATGATCCTATCATAGTTATAGAATAGATTTCATATGTTCTATATATCATTCTGTCTATTTATTATAGGATAATATAAACTTACCTGATTATAATGTACCAGAACGTGTTCAAACATTTATTCAAACAGCTCAAAATGAGTCAATGGAATATGCAACTAATCATATTATAATGACATTTGGTGGTGATTTTCAATATCAAAATGCATTGGCAAATTATAAAAATTTAGATAAATTAATTAAATATGTCAATGATCAGGTAGAAATATTTCATTTCGATTTTAATGAAATAAAAATTTATTAAATTTCACTAAAGCAAATAAATGGTAGTAATGTAAATGTTTTCTATTCGACTCCATCGTGTTATTTATATGCATTAAATAAAGTTAATCGTAGCTGGATAACAAAAACGGATGATTTTTTTCCACATGCACATCATCCACATGGATTTTGGACAGGATATTTTACATCACGACCAGCTTTAAAACGTTTTGAACGTTATTCAAATAATATTTTACAAGTCATACGACAATTAAATACATTTTCTAATAGTCAATTACGAAATCAAATCTTCAGTTTAAGTAAAACATCAATTTCTTCTAATTCATTTATTGTTTTAATATTATACATAAAGGTGAAGCAATGGCGATTGCTCAACATCATGATGCAGTTAGTGGAACAGAAAAACAACATGTTGCAAATGATTATGCACAACGATTATCCATTGGAATTGATGCAGCACTTGTCTGTATATTTTACTTACAAATTGATTCTTATCTGACATTATTTTAGAATGTAATTAATACAGCTTATTCAAAACTATTGATAAAAGATAATCAATCAACAACAACAGAAATTCAACAATTTCTTTGTCAATTAACTAATATAAGTGAATGTTTACCAATTGAAAATGCAAAACAAGTAAAACAAGAAAGAAATATTTATTCGATAGTCATTTAGTTTTGATTGAATAGTTCACAGTAATACTTTGGAATCCAATAATTCATCCAGTTGTTGGTTATTTACGTGTGCCTGTTACAAGATCTTATACAGTTCGTGATTCAAGTGGGCAAATTCGTTCTGAGTTAGTTCCAGTTTCAAATTCAACGAAAACAATACCTGGTCGAATGAGTAATGCAACGAATCAACTGATTTTCAAATATAATTTACCAGCATTGGGTTTTAATACATATTACTTTGAAGGTAATTAGATTTTAATTGTATTTCTTTTCAATTTGAGATTTTGTTTTGTAGCGAATGAAGAAGAAGAAGAAAAATTCGAAATAACTAAAAATGAAATATGTATTTTACAAAATCAAGTAAGAGAAAATAATAATAAATGAAATATTTTATATGATTTCTTTACAGAATTTTCGAATTGAAATTGATGAACAAGGAAATCTAAAACGTATTATAAATCTTCAAAAGAATATTAATATTACATTTCTTAATCAAGGCTTCTATTGGTATCAAAGTATGTTATTTTACTCTAATTAAGTGATATACCATTCTTCTATCTTATAAGGTTATTCTGGTAATAATTCTCAATTTGATTTTCAAGCATCAGGTGCCTATATCTTTCGACCATTAACACAAGATGCAAAACCAATATCTACAAAACGTTCATTGTATTTTTATTTCAATTAGTATTGTTTCACATTATTTATTATTCTTATTTAGAAAATGTATTAAAAGTGAACTTGTTCAAACAGCAATTATTATTTTTAATGAATGGATTAGTCAAGAAATTAATCTTTATGATGAAGGAGAAGATATTGAAATTGAATGGACAGTAGGTCCGATTCCAATTGAAGATAATCTTGGAAAAGAAATTATTCTTCGATATGATACAGATATTAAAAGTCAATCAAAATATTATACAGATGCAAATGGACGAGAAGTTCTTCAACGAATAAGAAATTATCGGCCAACATATAATTATACAATTACGGAACCAGTTAGTGGAAATTATTATCCAGTCAATTCTCGTATTTGGATTAATGAAACAAATCGACAATTTACTATTCTTACTGGTAGAATAAAATATAGAATATTGATCATATAGAATTTTAAATTTAATTTTTTGTTTATAGATCGTTCGGAAGGTGGTGCAAGTCTTATTGATGGTTCAATTGAATTAATGATACATCGACGTTTACTTTATGATGATAATTTGGGTGTTGGTGAAGCATTGAATGAATCTGCATTTGGTCAAGGTCTGGTTGTTCGTGGAAAACATTTTCTTAATATTGATTTACCTCAAACAAGTGCCCTTTATCATCGTATTCATTCACAAGAATTATTCATGTCTCCACTTGTAACATATGCATTAATTAATTCATCTTATATGAATTATTCAAATTTATATCGTCAAACATGGTCTGCATTAAGCGATATATTACCTTCGAATATTCATTTATTAACATTAGATCGACTAAATGAAAAACAATATCTTATTCGTCTTGAACATTATTTTGAATTAAATGAAGATGAAAAATATTCATATCCAACTAAAATTAATTTACAATCAATATTTAAATCAATTGGAATAATTGAGAAAATATTAGAATTAACATTAGATGCTAATTTAGAATTATCTCAAATGAATAGACTTCATTGGTTAACTGATAATGATGAACTATTACTACAAACGAATGATTCTACGAGTAAGTAATTCAAATGAAAAACAAATTTTTTTTTGGAATATAATATCTTTTTTTCTTTTATAGAACAACATTCATTGGTTGATACAAACATTATTTTAAATCCAATGCAAATTCGAACATTCCGCATAACAATCGTATAACATAGCATTTCGTTTTTTCATGTTGATTGCTACATTTCAATTGTCATTTAAAATTAAAATAAATAGTTATGGACTAGTCGCATGTGAAGAAAGTTTATGTTTAAATCTCAGCAGTAATGAAAGGGATGCGATTGTGAGTGTGAGTGTGGGTAGGTGGTGTTTGAGTATCTATTCCCTTAGTATCATCCAAACCTGGTCTTGTCGTAAATTAACATTTGATTTTTGAATATTATTATGATAATTAATGAAAACTTATACATTTTTATGAGAATATATTGATAAAGTGTATCGGGTGAGGGTGTGGGTGTAGATACCATAGATATCATATACCTACAGCCACACCCACACCAACACACCCACACCCACACCCCGACTATATCTAATACAGAAAGCAAGAGAAAAAGAAACAGAACAAGCGAAAGGTATAGCACACAAGAAGGATAAATGTGATAAAGCGAGGGGAGTGATTCGAAAGGATGTCCATCTATGTTCTTGGCACATTTGTGTGTAAATATTCTACCCTGATCCTCACCCTCAAGATGGTTTTTTTTACAAGAAACGTTTTGTTACGCTTATGTTTTAAGGAATATATTTGAAAGTGACGTCAGTCGTATGATTGATTAGTAACTGTCTCAAGTTTCAGCTGGTTAATACGGTTCATATAACTCTGCACTGTTCAAGTGCGAACTATTGTTAACACCGCCAGTAACCAATACTTTTCCATTCATTAGTACGGATGCTGCATGCGCCCATCGTTTACTACTCATACTATTAATAGTTGACCATTTTCTTGTTGATGGATCATACAATTCAACACTATTTAAATAAACTCCAGCAATATATCCACCAGTAACTAACACTTTTCCATTTGTTAATAAAGATGCTGTGTGAATATATCGTGCATCACTCATATTACCAGTAAAAACCCAATGCTCTGTTGATGGATCATATAATTCAGCACTATTTGGACCACCACTACTAACTAACACTTTTCCATCTGTTAAAACAGATGCAGTGTGTGCATGTCGTTCATCGTTCATTGTACCAGTAATTGTCCAAGTTTCTGTAATTGGATCGTAAAATTCAGCACTGCTTATATGATAATTATTGGTTCCGCCAGCAATTAACACTTTTCCATTTATTAATACAGATGCTGTATGCTCTTCTCGTGCAATATTCATGTTCCTGGTAGTTGTCCAAATCCGTGTTAATGGATCATATAATTCAGCACTGTCCAGAACATTATCATTAGAACCACCAGTAACTAATACTCTTCCATTTTTTAATACAGCTGATGTATGCGAAGCCCGCGCATTATTCATTTTACCAGTATCTGTCCAAATCTCTGTCAATGGATCATATAACTCTGCACTGTCCAGAGCACGATTATTATAACCACCAGTGACTAATACTTGTCCATTTGTTAATACAGATGCTGTATGATCATATCGTGCATTATTCATGTTACTAGTAGTTGTCCAAGTGCCTGTTGATGGATCATACAACTCAGCACTTTTTAAAGTAGAAACTTCGTTATCTCCGCCGCACACCAACACCTTTCCATTTAGTAACACAGATGATGTGTGTCCAGCCCGTGCATAATTCATACTACCGGTATTAGACCACTCTAAATGATGAAGATAATTAAATATATTAATTCACTCTGAGACAAATGTTTTTGACGTCGAATCCCGAGATTAGTCTAGCCATGTACGAAAATCATTGCCGCCGTTCAATGGAGATGTTTTTAACTTTTTACAGATGGTTAGGAATATAAAAGTTAGTCTAAAACTTACCTGACTGCTGAGTAGTGGTCGCAGTTGTTGTTACTGCCGGTGGTACGATGTCGATGATCTTTAACTTGTTTACCACAAAAATATCAAATTTTGACAACAGATAGAGCGTTAGTGCAAATATTGTTAAAACCATAAAAATGGCACAAGTGACAGTAATCCAATCACGGAGCCACCTTTTCTCTCGTACATTTTTGTCAATACCACGTTCACTGTACATAATTGTTTTTCGCATGATATTTCGATAAAATATTTCTTCTAAAAAAGAACGAGTTGTTGTCAGAAATTACTTTATATTTGTGTATTATTCGAGTAAGGGTGACGTTTTTTGATAGAAGAGACTCTAGCTCTGATAAAGCTATACTTTCCTTTATTTCTTCGAATTATACAAAGATATGGATGTAAACGCTTTTCAATGATTTCGTTACAATTCAACCATACAGAGTTCAGTCAATATTTGACCACTCATTTCATCATATAATTCAGTCGATAACCAATTTCAATCATAATAAAAAATAGCAGCAGTAAAACTGTTGAAAGATAAAAGCATGATTACAAAAGCTTATACACATCGAAATGAGAGTTAGCACAGATCTCTCGAGGGAACCTCACTAAGTGATACCCTCCGTTTGACCTCATATTCTGCCCATATGTAGGGCTCATATAGTAGATAAAAATCCCAAAAGGGTTCGTGCCATTGCCCTCTTGCTGTTGAGATATTGTGTTTCTAAGGTATTAAGATAACCTAATGCCGTGGTCCCCCTCAGGGAAGTGCGAAAAACTAATGTTGGAGTTTTGACTTGAAACTTTGTTTAGAATGAGGTCTTACTGAGAGTAGTTTACTGTGAGAGTTTCAGTTTTCCCGAATACTCATAAATCTAAAAAGGAATGTCATATGCTAGCTCTTGTAAGCGATAGCAAGTGACATTAGATTTTCATCGCCGTATCTCTGGATAGAAACAAGCAGTAAGTCTAAAACTTTCATAGTATACTACTCTCAATAAGACCTCATTCTAAACAAAGTTTCAAGTCAAAACTCCAACATTAGTTTTTCGCACTTCCCTGAGGGGGACCACGGCATTAGGTTATCTTAATACCTTAGAAACACAATATCTCAACAGCAAGAGGGCAATGGCACGAACCCTTTTGGGATTTTTATCTACTATATGAGCCCTACATATGGGCAGAATATGAGGTCAAACGGAGGGTATCACTTAGTGAGGTTCCCTTGTTAGTAGAGTAAAACTATGCCTTAAAAAATCTTCCACAAGGTTAACAACACTGCATGAAAAAACGAGTATATTGAGAGTGAAATACGTAAAGCAAAAATATAATATACCTTTAAGATTGGTATGAGAAGATTACAGTAATAGGTGAACGTAGAAAATCAGTTACACGCTCCCTTTAATAAAGCAACAAAACAACATATCAAGCCTCACGCTCGGATAAACTTATCAATATAGTTGGAAAAAAGTCGCTCTTAGGCATAAGAGAGAAAGAGAAAGAGAAAGAAAGACAAATATGTTTAAAGTCAGGTATGAGGTATTATTTTTCTGATTTTTCTTCATTTCTTTCACTTGCATGTTGGTTTATCATAAATATTAATCTAAGAGAAAAAAAGCGACAAAGGAAAAAAAGATTTGGCAAATATTAAATATTGCGAAGAGGATGTAGTTCTAAATCATGAGCTTATTGTTGTTATTATTCATAGCGCCGTATGCTGTAAAAAATTATAAAAAAAATAAACCCTATAATGGAAAATGGTATACTTACGGTGAGGGTGTGGGTGGGTGTGAATGTGGATGGGGGTGTGGTTGGATATGGATGTGGGTGGGTGTG